GTTGCGAGTATGAGTCTAAAAAAGGTAGTTAGCCCTCCTCTCCTTTAAAATTAAGTAACAAGACTATAGAAGAAGGAGGATATGAGAGAATTACAATACTGTATCCAAGGCAGGTAAAAAACCTCCCGAGTCTTGATGAGAACAACCTGAAGAAAGAGAGTAATTTCCACTGAAGGAAATTCAGCATGAGCAATTACAAATCTGGTAGCAAAGACTCTTAGGGTATGTGTCAAATCCATGTGTCTGGAGAACAGCGAAACGAAGGGAATGAGTGGAGAGGTGGAAAATCCTGTGCACAACTAGAAACACATTAGTCAGAATCTAATAGTATGAGATGATTTTAAATCCATTGCGAAGGAAATAAAAGAATGTTAAATTAAAAGCAGCACAGACTTAGCAAGAATAGATTCAGTTTTTGTTTGGTAACATTTCTAGAAAATAAAAGTTGAGAAAATCTAATCCAGTTGTACCTTATTAAAGCATCTAACACAGCAGCAGAAAATTAACAGAGACACTGAAGGGATGGAGAAGAGTAAAAATAATGTAATATGGATGCAGAATCCATGAGTGAGTAAAATCAAAAAGATGTACTGGACAGACAACTCTTATATTCCTATTTCCAACCACTGATTTCTGCTGCTGTTGGAACAAAGGGTTTCTCTAGGGTATCATCTTATTACCTTCAGGGATCTAGCAATAAAGGAGGAACAGCAGCAAGGAAATTTGCATTAGACACCCATCTGGTCAATGTACTGTCAATGGTTAAGTCCCACAGAACAGGAAAGCTGGCCGTCTTGAGGCCTAGAATAATAGCAGTGCAATGCATTTAACATATTCAAGGAATGTATTTGCTTTGTTTTGTGAATCATTGACCCCATGCTATGATAACCTGCAATAAGTATATCCAGTGTGCTCTGCAGTGGTAAGGTTTCCTCTGGGATTCTTTGGTTTTGGGCATCAAACTTAAAGAAAGAAGTAGAGCAACCAAAAACAGAGAAGGTAAACAAGTATGGGGAGAAATTTAATGAGCATCCAGTAAGAAAAGAATTAGAGATGATTAAGCTAAGCAAGACAGGTTCAAGAGGTCAGATGGTAACAGTCCTGTAATATGGGAAAATGCTGCCTGATTTAAAGGAAAGCAGTAGTTTGTTTTCTATGCCTGCTGCTTCTGGGACAAGAAATAATAGCCTGCGGTGGGGATATTTAGTTTAAGCTTCTCAAAAACCTTTTTTAATGAAAATTATAATTAAGTACCAGGATGGATTGCAAAGGACACTGCAGAGTAGCCACCTCTGAAAGTTTTTATTTCATAAATGTCTCTCAGGAATAATTCTGGTGTATTTATTCATTGAGAAGAGCAATGGAGTAGTTAATAGATATCGCCTTTTCCAGAGCGAATTCTGCTCATACTGTCTTCTCCTATTTTCTTTTTTGGCCCTATATTAACCACCTCCTGCCAGTGAAAGGACCTGAGGGTGCTGATGGGATTCTTGAGAGTACCCAGGTAAACTAGTTGACATCAGCCTTCTAATTTCTCAAGCAACACATATTTAGAACTGCCAATGACCTACATCCCTTAGGTGTCAGTTCCTTGTTGAGACTTTGCAGAGAGTATTATGGCTACCAGCTCCACGGGCAGTTGATGAATGAGGGGGACAGCACAGTTGGCAAGAGCTCAACTTGCTTTGCTCATTAGGGGTTGATGTGCAGTAGAGTCTCAGTCAAAGTGCAAGGGCTAGAAGCATCCAAAACCAGGTGATGGTGGAGGGGCTCAGTTCAGAGGCTCAACCCTGCTCTGAAAGACAACACTGGGGTAGTGGACATGCCTCCATCAGTACTGACCAGGACCTTCACAGGGCTAGAGTTACTCAGTGCTGTCCTTCTTCCATCTCAGCAGGAAAACAGAGCTGTGCATCATGCCACATGCTCAGAAAGCCCTCTGTATCTGCTGTGTTGGGTCAGAGTGTGACCCTTGGCGAAGGGCTTAAAGCCTGATATTTCGTTAAGCACAAAGATACCCTGATTACAGCAGGCTGGAAGTGGGGACAGTACCTCCAAACACAGCTGTCCACTGACCCTGATCTCCTGCTGCTCTGTAGCCACCTGCCTGTGACAGTGGCAACAGCAGATCTCTATACATCCCCAGGCTGACACAGAAAGGCTGTTCTTACAATGTGAGTCATGAGCCTTCCTGGCTGTGAGGCCCAAGATATGGCCTCTCCCAGTCTCTCCCTGATCCATTTTCTATTACTCTTTACTAGTCATGTTTGAGAGCTGAACAGAAAGCAAGAAGCCTACAGATAAACTCTCACATATAGGCACATGTATATTCAAAGGAGAGTACAACATCTATTCAGGACTGCGCCTTAAGGAGAGATAAATCCATTATATGCAACTGACCTTACTGGATTTGCAGATGTGTGATAACCTCGTGTGTCAGATGAATCATTCTCATATAAAATTGTAAAATGAGAGCTCACACACACTCATTCTCTGTTATGGCCCTGCCTTGCCTGTACAAAACAGCTCCTGAAACTGCAGCTCTGCTGTCACGTATGAATTTACCACCTCACTGTCTAGCCCTGATGAGACCACTGCCTTGTAATGCAGGTGGCAGATCTACCCTCGAGACCTCCATTGCAGCTGCAGCAGCAGTGGGAGAATTTCAGAAGAGGCTCGTTATAAATGAAAGCCCAGTTGCTCAATCACGGACTGGTGATTGAAATCTTGAAACTTCACTCATCTGAGTTAAATGAGAATTACCCTTCTCTGACCTGCAAGTCGTACTTTCATTTACACAGCAGAGAAGGCACCAGATGGACCTGGAAAGGTTCCCCATCCATTTTTGGGGCACTTGTATGCATTGCAGAAATGCATACAAGTGCCTAAAATACAGGGCAAAGGGGAACAACCTGGACAACCTTGGTTTCATTTATGGAGGCAATACTACTTATTTCTTAAATAATTTCTCTTGTCTGTAAGAATGAAAATTACAGGATACAATATTAGAAATTTTATTGCTTCAGGCAGTTGGTTTGTGCTTGGATATATGCCCTTAGATGGGACCCTTTGCTCAGACTACTCGGGGCTTATTTAATACACAAAGCTGAGGGAGGCCAGCTCTGTTTGAAATGGCTTTCATTTTGGTTGTTTTGAAGATACCGTGTATGGGCAAGATACAATTTAAAGGAAATAGTTGGGTGTGTATAGCAGGTACTTAAGGGGAATATGTATATATTATAATAATGTCAACTGTCTGCAGTATATATAGGATCTCTAACAGAGATTTTAAAAGACTCCAGGGTCCCGCTCACAGTCCATTACACTTGTGCTCCTGTTAGTTCTGTGGATAGTTTTGGAAGTCTTCTTATAGGCTTCTTGTATCTTCTTTCGTTTGCACAACTAGACGAGTCTGTGCTTTACCAGGAACAGATAATACTATCCGATGCAGCAGTAGTGATCGATGTACAGAGGGCTTTTACAGAGATGTCATGCTTATCACACTTTTCACTGAGGCAAGTCTCAGACCTGCAGATGAATACTGTATGAATCACTCTATGTTTTGACAGCAGAGATAACTACAGTGCACCAGAACGTACACATGTACTTTCCTAAGTAAGATCTTGTACTTACCTTCTAGAAGGATGAACTATGCAGGCGACTTTATTATAGACATCATTATAAATCTGGGTGTTCTAGCTATGAGTTCTGAGTAGGATATTCACATAGTGCCTCTAACAACAGGTTTTGTCCTCAACTCTCTTCCCCCCAAAAAAGAGGCTGGGCTGGGATATAAACATTAATGAAAGAATACAAAGTAAATACAGCCATACACTGCTGTATTACAGAAACGTCATGCACATAGACATATGTAGAAATAATCTGCTTTAAAAAAAGGAGGAAAAATAAAATTGCATAATTAAGCACATCTTACTATATCTTACAATCACTGTGAATAGAGATCTAGAGCAGATTTTGATTTCTCCTAGCTTGGTCGCTTCTTATGAAGATTTTACTTCCAAACTTTCAAGTATATGATAATCCAAGGTATTTACCAGAGAACTACAGAACACAAAATGAACTTTCTGTAAAAGACCTAAAACGATCAATCAACCTCTAGAACCAGAATGTTGTCCTCCATTAAACGCCAAAAATTAAATTGTCTTCTCATTTCATTCAAAGGCAAAAGTCCATTGAATGGGTTTGAAGTTACACCTTATTTATTGGTTACAAAATTCTATTAAAATATTACTATTATTGATTAGTTGGGGTAATTTATTAAATGAACTTGTATATAACTATTTATTTTCCAGTAGGCTTGATTTCTTTTCATTGTGGCTTATCAGGGGTGCATGATGTTGCTATTAAAAATATCGTTTAGCTTATTTTGATGTGAACTGTGAGAAAAAGTTATGACTGTTTATGTTCATTATGCCTGTAAACTATGCTTGTGTGAGAGGATCTCAGTAAAACTATTGGCCTGATTGTACAAAAGACCCTTATTTAAAAAATATATACCGGAGTCCTGCAGCAAGAAACCAACAAAGTGTTTGTAATATGTACAATACTGCAAAAATGTTGTAAGCCGCAATGACTTTGCAAGGGAATACTGCTGCTACTAAAAAGAAGGATGTGAATGAGTTTGACCTATATGAATTACAAAAGAAATATTAACTTCTACCAAGAAGATGATGTTTAGGATGAACATGAAGCTATGTTTATTCCCTGAAATAAGGGGTATTTTTCATATGTTTCAGCTTACCTTCTTCTGCAGAATAAATTCTTCATGCAACCTTCCATTAAACCTCCCGTAAATCAATTCCTTAGTGAATGCTGTTCTTTAAAAACATTATTATCTTGTCCTTATTCACTGTTATCCCCTCTTTCCCAAGCAGGTAAAAAAAGTATAAATAAAAACCAACAGCTGTTTAACCCCGCTTCTTTTGCAATAGGCCAGAATTTCACACCACAGTAGAACTTTAAGCCTTTTATTACTGCTTTACAACACGTAATATGCAACACAAAGCAAAGCCACAAAACACAAAAGCTATTTCAAGTTATTACTAAAATAATACTAAACATTCACCTTTCCATGTATTAAAATTGTCCCTGCTGCAGCATTAGTCACAGCAGAGCCCATTGGCGGTAATGCAGCTCCAAACAGCAGCAGTTATAAAGCAAAAGGCAAAGGCAGCTTTCTAGCTGCCCTTTTGTGCAGAAGCTGAAATCCATTCAGACAGATTGAATACTTCAAAAAAGGAAAGGCAGGAAGCATCTAGACATACTGACTTTTGGAGTATGAGCTTTCCATCTTCCTGTGCAAATGCTGGCTCTGAGTGGGATACTGGTTTGGTGTGGAGTACCTGTAGCTTCTCGTTTTCACACAACAGCAGCAGAAGCAACAGAATATGGCTCCAGCAGCAATGAGGCAGAAGGCAACTGCCCAGCCCAGGTAGAGGGCCTCTCCAAGCTCCCTTTTCTGTGCAACGTTGACCACAGGGTTGTAGAAGTCACTGATGATGGCATTGGCAACCCAGCAGACTGCAATGAGCTCAACAACACCTGAGAGGATGAAGAGGAACCCAGCCACCAGACTAATATAGCCCTTGGCTTGCCAGCTGCTCTGTGCGCACCGCATGCACTTCATCCCAGTAATGGCAACCATGAAAGCGAGGAACGAGAGCACCGACCCAGCACACATCAGTCCCCTGGATGCCTGCAGGTCCGGAGAGAGGGCCAGCACGGAGTCGTAGACCTTGCACTGCATCCTGATGTTGGCTTGCCTGATACAGTGCATCCACAGACCTTCCCAAATGGTCTCGAACACGATGATGTTGTTCTCAATGAAGGCAGACACCCTCCACTGAGGCATGCCTGTGACAGCAAATGTCCCAATCACGCCAATGCCACCAACAAGCAGCCCAGCAATCTTCAAAGCGCCACTGCCCATGTTGCCTTTGCAAGGTGAGACACACTTCAGCAGGTTTCCCAAGCCAGGCACACACTGCTGGCAAAAAAATCAGCACCTTTTTCCCAAAGTTGTTGTCCCTTGTGCAAAGAAAGTTTCAGAGTCAATCTGCACAACTTTAAATCGGCTTAAATCTGCACACATTACCTGGGACTTGGCTGCGCCTTCATCTCCTTTATAATTCCCCTGCCACCACTGACTCAAAGAAGCAAACTGAGCAATCAAGTGGAACAACTTTCAAAGCAAGAGAAAGGACAGGGTGTGTGTAAACCAGCAAGAGCCACTTAGGACAAATATACCTTCTGAGGAAAATGCTTTGCATTGAAGCCATTTACTTAAAAAAATTAAAACAAAAAAAAAAAAAAAAAGAGAAAGCCCTACCCGTAACTCTAGCCATGAACTACAGGTTTGCCTGTGCTAAGGAAGTGGACTGGTCCCAGGAGGGAGACTTAGGTAAGTAGTGGTGCAGTAACTGAGGCTTTTGCACTTAACAGGCAAGAATATTCTCCCTCAGCCCAAAGGCAAATTGCCAAAAAGAAAGCAGAGCCCCACTGTCTGCCACAGGGCCTCTGCTCCCAAAAGTACTTTTGTTCTGAAGCTTGAAGGAGAGTGCTTCAGTGATAGGATCAAGGAACAAAGCAAATCAAAAGGATAAAGTAACTCTGAACCTGAAACAGTTCTGCAGAGTATAATGAAAGCTCTGAAAGACCATTTAAAAGGTAGAAAGGAACAATAAGAGACCTCAATCCTGCTAATACCTGTATGCATATATAGCTTTATACGTTTCTGTTGCTTTACAAAGTGTTATGGGAACAGGTAAGCTTCTGGAGATATCCATATGCTTAAATGCTTGCATAATGAGGTCTACAGAACAGTGATGTAAGCTATGTAGCAAATTGTTTTCCTCTGCAAAAGTGAACCCAGCAATTACCCTGTAATGGAATTCTAGTTCAATGGAAAACACTGGCTGTCCAAGTAAAGACCTGTTAGAGCTATCCATGTACAAACAAACAGTTTAGAAGTGTTTTAGGACATCATATTCATAAAAAAAAATAATTTAAAAACCCAAACAAACAAACAAAAAAACCTGAAACCCACCACGTAATAATTATGGGGAGCAGGTGAACTGCTCATTCTAGGTATGACCAGCAGACAATCCTGGAAAGTGTCAGGTGAAGAAATATGATAAAGTCAGAGCAACAGAAACCACAGTCAAAGGCCGCAGAAAAAAAAAAACAGTCATGTAACAATGGATTCTTTTTTACAAATTCATATAGCTACAAATGTGTGCGTGGAATATTCAGCCTGATCTCTGCATATGCCTTAACATGGAAAATAAAAACTTATGCACAAACTAGCATTTTTCGTTACAAAGTAGTACGCCATATGTTAAGAACTAATTTGTTATACTGTAAAAGATCAATTTCAGTTATAATTACATAGATATTGAAATACTGGTCTCCTGCTAGTTATTTGAACTTTCTTGTCTCTACTTCTTTTCTTGCCATTTATATATCTTCAAAACCAAAAAGCAAATGCAAAAAAATAGAGCAGTGAAGTGCTAAATATGCCAGCTTTTTTGGCATATCAAAGATAGGGAAAAGATAAAAGTCCCACTTACATGTAATATTTTATGCTCTCTAAGTGTGTTTCTGTGTGTGTGTGCATAAACATTGGTTAGGAGGCAAGTCAGAAGTACTCTACAAATCTTTCCATATTCATTTTGGTTTTCATATCCACCTGCTTTTCCAGCCTCTGCAGCATGCTAAAATGGCGAATGCAGGTAACCTCTTCTGTTTCTTGTCCCTTGAGCCCTGATTTGTGGTCAGGCAACTTTCCATTATACCCTTTTGGATGTGTTTATACCTCTGAAACCAAACATGCATGCCTTTCCTAATCCAAAGGTACTGAAAGCCTTGACCTAAAAAGTGCATTAGTGTGATGGCAGCTCCAAAAGCATTTTAAGAAATGAGAAGCCTAGCAGGAGTCTGGTATTTTGGATGCTCAGTTGCATCTGATCCCACTGTAACTACGACGGCTGCTCTGTGTTTCTCCTGCCACACATTTGTATTTGCAGTTTTGGCTGGTTCTTGCCATCAGTCAGCCTTCCTTGGCAGTTTGAGCCTCTTTTGCCATGTTTGTGAGCCAGGCAGGGGAGGGGCCCTACAGTCTCCAGAGTTAGGGATCCCAACTGCTACGTGAGCTGAAGGCCAGTCTTATTTCTGACTGCCTCTGGGCTTCATGCTCTGCAGTCCCATGCCCTGGCACCCTGCTGTGCTCCTTGCCTCTGCTGGCCATGCCCTCCTCCCAAAGGTGAAGTGCACTGCAGGGGCAAGCGTGCTGAGGGTAATAGCCCTTCTTCTGCGACCTCTGTGGAGGGTGTCTGGACAGCAATAGAGGATGACTTGACTCTGAATGCATTCCCAATGCATTAATTTGGAGAAGCCAGGCTTACTCTTACTGTATTGACTAAGAACTGTATAGACTGCTACAGTATGACAGAGTCTGGATCTGTATAGCTGGAATCACAATTTGCTGTTTTGCATGCTGCAAACTAATCCATCATGCAGACCTGTAAATGATGGGGGTCAGGGTACAGGACTTGGGAAAAATTTCTTGGATAACTAGATTCATAGAATCACAGAATAATTCAAGTTAGAAGGAGCCTCTGGATGTCACCATTTTTTGAAGCTGTGCCCTTCAAACTCACAAGGCTATGGACTCAATCAAGGTCCGTTTCAGTCATCAAAAATGTCCCAAAGATTTCTTGGAGGACGAGGGTAGTTAAATCCTGTTCCCCCTAGGGTGAGACAAAGAGGATTTTGAGTAGCAGCTATAAATACACAGTATTTCTCTGCTCAAATGGATTTGTCATATTAAATACAATGTAACTAACGTTGCATGGTTTTGCAGTCCCGTGGTTGCCACTCAAACAGCAAAGGAAAAGCTACCAGCCTATAGCAGAACAAATAAACAAGCATTTTAATAACAGATCAGTAAGTAAACACAAATGTGATACAAGCATACAAGCAGCAGGACTGATTTTTCTTAGAGTCTACTGAAGTTCTAATTTACAGGACATGGAAAATAATTAGCTGAGCAAATATAATTTACCCACGTTATTGATTAATTTACAAAACCATTAAAGCTCCCATATAAATTCATGGTAAGACCGTGTCTGTGTCAAGGATTAGGTATTTGAACATTCTTAGAAGGATTACATTTTAGTGCCTTATCTTGGTTAAAACCATTTTCAGGAGGAAATGTGAGGAAATCTTATTTGGCATTATGGATTGCATCTGCTTGTTTACAATTAAAACACAGGAAGGGGGCAAGTCAAGAATCTCATTATTTATTCTTCTCTGTATTCAGACATGCATTTCATTACAAGGAAATATCAGAAATACCTGGGACTAATCATATTTCACTGTTGGTCACAGGATCCTATTATTTTGTTAGAAAACAAAAATACATATATATAATTTAACCATATACGTTATTTACTCTTTCCTTTCGTATTGCGTGCAGTTCTGGTGTCCTCAACATAAAAAGGACATGGAACTGTTGGAACAAGTCCAGAGAAGGGCCACGAGGATGATCAGGGGACTGGAGCACCTCCTGTATGAAGACAGGCTGAGGAAGTTGGGGCTGTTCAGCCTGGAGAAGAGAAGGCTGCGTGGAGACCTCATAGCAGCCTTCCAGTATCTGAAGGGGGCCTATAGGGATGCTGGGGAGGGACTCTTCATTAGGGACTGTAGTGACAGGACAAGGGGTAATGGGTTAAAACTTAAACTGAGGAAGTTTAGATTGGGTATAAGAAGGAAATTCTTTCCTGTTAGGGTGGTGAGGCACTGGAATGGGTTGCCCAGGGAGGCTGTGAATGCTCCATCCCTGGCAGTGTTCAAGACCAGGTTGGACGAGGCCTTGGGTGAGGTGGTTTAGTGAGAGATGTCCCTGCCCATGGCATGGGGGTTGGAACTAGATGATCTTAAGGTCCTTTCCAACCCTAACTATTCTATGATTCTATGATTCTTTCCCTTTCCCCTTCTCCTTTTCTCTTTCACTTTCACGCTATGGTAAGAAATTAATTTCCTTAAAGTCATTGCCAAGCTTTTCTCTATGACACGTGTATTTTCCTGCTCAGTGTTCCCAGCTCCTTCCTTGTTTCCTCTGCAGAGCAGGTGAGTAAGCTACAGGCACACATTGTTCTATATTCTTGGTGAGTAATGTGGACCTTAAGCAAGTATAGCATCACCTCGGCAGAAAATACATAACATTTCAGGACTGGGTTTGGTTGGTCTGTGAGCCTCAAACAAGACATTTGACTCTTCAGTAGCACCTTTCTCCAATGAATGCCTTTGTGAGAGAGCAAGAAGGGATTTCTCACGCTTCTTACATGGCTTTCTTTCTGAATGCTGCTTTCAGTTTCAGGAGGAGGTGAAGAGATAACTCTGTGATTAGTCCAGCTGCCACTTAACACCATTTCTCACAGCTTCCCTGGGAACCCACTGCTCCCCAGCAGAGCAGCACAGCCCCCAGGTCCCTGTCATGACTCATTTTCGGCCACTAAAGGTGTTTTGTAATAAAATACAACAGGAAAATGCGGTTTAAGCATTATGTCCTTCCTCTTCCTTAGCATATAGCATTTTTAAATTCCAGAGCTGTGAAGTGCCAAGAGTAATCACTGATGCTGAAGGGGAGGTGGAGAGACAGGGAAGAAGTTGTTGCTCAACACCTCCAAAGCTCTCACCCTGCATCAGTAGCTCATTGAAAAGAATCCTGATTATTGATGCTCTTATGCGAAAACAGAGTGCTGATGTCAGACAAGTTGTTCAGCATTTTCTTTCTTGGAAGGTTATTATTACTGTGTCAGTGGATGTATGCTGCTCTATGGCTAGCCCCAGGTATACTGTAACCTGGCACTTATTTTTTCTCCAAGAACTTTTACCTAATGCAGCAGAACATGAAAAGCCAGTTCAACATATCTAATGAAAGCGGAGTCACATACATTCATAACCAGCTTTACTGAAGAGCCACTTCTTTTCAGTTGAGGTAGCTTTTACTCCTGTACCTTCTCTCTAGAACACTTACCACTAACAAGAAAGCATTGTCTAGATGGCAAAATGGACACCGAAAGAAGTGAAATAATTAATAATCCTTGGCTAGTAATGTAACAGCATTGCAGAAAATCTCTCTGCCTAGTATCCCAAATAGCTCTACACATTCACTTCTCTTCCTCCCTGTGCTTTAAATCTCACATAAAACTCATGACAACGTGATGATGTTCCCCTTGGATTAACATGCAGTGTGGAAATTTCAATTTCCCTGCTTTTAAGCTCTGTTTGTTTTGTGAAGTGTTAATGCAGAAAATTTGCCTGACTTGGAACAGGGATGCACAGCTCAAAAACTGGATTTCTGAAGTTACACAGTGGCTAAAGAGCATCAGAGGCCACAACTTCCCATGCTGTCTTCTTCTGTACACCCTTACAGACAGCTGAAACTTCCTGAAAAGCTGGGTACAAACAACTGGCCTCTTACATTGCTGAATCTTCATCAGAATTAATAACACACAATTCTATGCTGAAGGAAGGGATGTAAAGCTATCCACCTGGTGGCTCGAAAAACAGACTAGGTGAAGTTCACAGGCAGATGTCAGGGAATAATTCTGCACCATGACAAATTCACCCTGTGGCAGCTATAAGACATTTCTGGCCACAGGCTAGCATTTGGTTTGTGGGTTCTCCCTGGGAGCTAGAAAGAGTCGAACTAGGAACCTGTCTTCTGACTTCAGAAACCTACCTTATGATCACTGAAACTCATTTCCCCTCTGCTGTGACATGACTAGGAACACAAAGTATTTTGTATAAAGTCTCTTTTTCCTTCATGCAGGAAGAAACATGATCAGTAACATGAAGGCCTGAGATGAATATATTTCCTCATTGTTTTAAAAATGTCTGTGACGTATATGAAAGACAATTTAAATCCCAGTTTACCCCATGCAGGTGGTTGCCTCCGTAACATTCTGCAGCATCTCCTGCAGTTAGCCTACAACCTACAGATGCCAGACCTTCTTTAAATGTTGCCTAAGCTGACTTGATTAAAAGTTTTACACCTCTGGACAAAACCGATCATTTGTGGCATTTCTGCTCCAACCCAATTGAAGCATTACCATATTACACTTAATTTTCT